AGACGAACATCCGTGGAGGGATGCAGGCAAGGCCGGTGAGGCAGATGCCTTCTATGACCTCCTGTCACAGGTGCTGGCTAAAGTGGCCCCTCGGGATAGAGTCATCATGTTGGGTGACTTCAATGCCCGAGTTGGTCATGATGCTGGCACCTGGTCTGGAGTGATCTGAAGGCATGGGCCAGATCAGCTCAATAACAACGGTAGGCTGCTAGATTTTTGTGCAGCCTATGGGCTTGTATTTACCAACACGCTGTTCCGGCATCGGCGCCTCCACACATCATGGATGCATGCCAGGTCCAAGCAAGAACATCTGCTGGACTACATAGTGATGGAACAGCTGATGCGGGCCCATGTCCTTAACACCAGGAGCTACCCTGGAGCTGATCTGCCCACTGACCATCGACTAGTCATCTGTAAGATGCGCCTACCATTCTTCCACTCTGGTGGTGGGTGTACACCCAGGACCCCATTCCAACATAAAGTGGCCTGGTCTCAGTTATCTGATGAAAGTTGCAAGCGAGAATTTCATCATCGCTTGCGGCTGGGATTGGCATCGTCCCCGACTCCTCCTGATGTCGAGGGTAAATGGGTGAGGTTTAGGACTGTGACTCATGCAGCTGCAATGGCTGCTTTGGGTACGCGGTCCAGACCTCCCCAGAGACCCTGGCTGACAGAGGAGGTGTTCAGGATGGTTGAGAAAAAGCGACAGGCCCACTGTCATCGGCTACAGAATCCCACGTCAGAGAATGAGGAGGCTTACCGCAGCCTTCGCTTGGAGGTTCGGAGAGCCGTGAGGCACTGCAAGGATGGGTGGTGGTCGCGGGTTGCTGAGGAGATGGAGTCTGCCTCAGTGGCCTGCGATCACAAATCTCTATTTAACTCCATCAAAAAAGTAACCTGCAGCGCTACACCCTATTACCATCATTAGGGGAAAAAACGGTGATCCAATCTCCGACCCCCAGGAACAGGTTTACAGATTTGCTGAGCATTTTTGTGAGGTCGTGGGGGAGGAGAAATCCCTCAGCCAGGAAAACATCGTGGCACAAAGTGAGGATGACCATGCTGAGGCTGCGGTGCCTCAAATATTGGAAGAAGTCACCCCCTGTGAGTGGCTAGCTGAGGTGCCATCTGTTGAGGAAGTACTGAAGGCGATCCGGAGTCTGAGACCAGGAAAGGCAGCGGGCAGAGATGATCTCCTAAGCGAAATGCTGAGGGAGGGTGGCGTTTGTGCACAGACTGCCCTATATGACATCATAACAACAGTCTGGACCACTGGACAGTTTCCACAGGATTGGAAGGATGCCCTGGTGGTCCCCCTCTTTAAGAAGGGGGACCGCACAGACTAACAACTACAGGGGCATCTCACTCCTCAGTGTTGCCGGGAAAGGTCCTGGCAAGGATTATTCAACATCGCCTTGCCAGGCACGCTGAGGAGAGGCTTGCGGAGCCCAAATGCGGTTTCAGGAAAGGGCGGTCCTGCACAGATGCCATATTTTCTGTCCGTCTGCTACAGCAGAGGTCTAGTGAATTCCAGCAAGACCTACATCTCTGCTTTATTGACCTGGTCAAGGCCTATGATACCATCAGTAGGCCTGGGCTCTGGGTTGTGCTTTCGGAGTCCCTGACCATCTGCTCATGCTCATTAAGGGCCTTCATTATGGTGAGCAGGCCCGAGTAAAACTACGTGGCCGGGAGTCGGAGCCATTCCCTGTTCATTTTGGGGTGCGACAGGGATGTCCTCTGGCTCCCACATTATTTAACATCTATTTTGACCACGTAATTCATGAAGCCTTCGATGGCTGCACTGGAGAAATTTCCATCTTGTACAGATACAATGGGAGCCTAATCGATGCCCGGGTGCGGTCTAGGGATGGCTCCCTAATGCTCAACCACGTTATGTTTACTGATGATTTGGTAATTGCTGCTCACTCAGAGGAGGAGTTGGAGACGATGCTGCTGAGACTGGAGCGTGCCACTAAGAGGTGGGGCCTTACCATCAGCCCCACCAAAACTAAGCACCTGCCTGGGTATTTTGTACCATCGGATACTCCACCCCCACAACTCCCAATCGGTGATGGGGCAGTTGTGGAGAGAGTGGAGAGTTTCCCATACCTGGGCAGTGTGCTTATGACCGGCTCCAGTTTAACAGCAGAGGTCTCACTCCCAATCAGTCGACCGGCAATATCTTTTCATCGGTTGCGTAACGCTGTGTGGAAGCTACCTGGTCTGTCGCTCCGCACTAAGCTTCAGGTTTTCTCGACCACGGTCATTCCCTCCCTTCTCTATGCTTGCGAAACATGGACGGCCATAATGGAATATCTTTGCCAGGTAGAAACATTTAGGCTGGCCTGCCTACGATCCATCCTGGGTTCAACCAGGCTGGATTGTGTGAGGAGCTCACAAATCCTTGAAAGATCTGGGCAAAGTTTAATTGGTGAGCTCCTCCAGCAGGCAAGGCTGCGTTGGCTGGGTCATGTGGCCCGCATGCCCAGCCACCGCATGCCGAAACAGCTTTTGTTCTGCCGGATAGAGGGTGCTAGACGGGCGTGGCATGGGCTAGATAAGAGATGGAGTGACGTGGTACAGGAGGACGTGGAGCTGAGTGGACTTGCCGATGACTGGTACCAGCGGTGTCAAGATTGGCCTCTGTGGAGGAGGCTCGTGAAGGACGCTACTGGGCAGTTGGAGGCAGTCGCCCTCCAACAACAACGGAGGGCGGAGGAGCGACGCTCAGAACAACGAGCGGAGCGTCGGGTGGCTAAAGCACAGCAGGTTGGCACAGTAGGGGGCACAGGTGGTGCATCAGCCAGTCATCTCAGTCAGTCGACCCGTGGCACCTGGGTCTGCCCCGTGACCTCCTGCCAGCGGGCGTTCAACACTTCACGTGGCCTCAAGGTGCACATAGCCTGGCACAAGCGTCGTGGTGACGTCACCACCACTAAGTGGTGAATGGCGGTTGTTGTGTGTTTCTGTGTTTCTGTGTGTCTCTGTGTGTGTCTCTGTGTGTCTGTATGTATGTTTCTGTGTCTGTGTGTCTCTGTGTGTGCGTCTGTGTCTCTGTGTGTGTCTGTGTCTCTGTGTCTGTGTGTGCGTCTGAGTCTCTGTGTGTGTGTGTGTCTGTGTGTGTCTGTGTGTTTCTTTGTTTCTCTGTGTGTCTGTATGTATGTTTGTGTGTCTCTGTGTGGCTCTGTGTGTGCGTCTGTCTCTGTGTGTGTCTGTGTCTCTGTGTGTGTGTCTGTGCATCTGTGTCTCTGTGTGTGTCTGTGTGTGTCTGTGTGTTTCTGTGTTTCTCTGTGTCTGTATGTATGTTTGTGTGTCCCTGTGCGTCTGTGTCTCTGTGTATGTGTCTGTGCGTCTGTGTCTCTGTGTGTGTCTGTCTCTGTGTGTGTGTCTGTGTCTCTGTGTGTGTGTCTGTGTCTCTGTGTGTGTCTGTGCGTCTGTGTGTCTGTCTCTGCGTGTCTGTGTGTCTGTATGTATGTTTGTGTGTCTGTGCGTCTGTGTCTCTGTGTGTGTGTGTCTGTGTGTCTCTGTGTGTGCGTCTGTGTGCCTGTGTGCCTGTGTGTCTGTGTGTCTGTGTGCCTGTGTGTGTGTCTCTGTCTCTGTGCGTCTGTCTGTGTGTGCATCTGTGCGTCTGTGTGTCTGTGTGTGTGTCTGTGCATCTGTGTCTCTGTGTGCGTCTGTGTGTGTCTGTGTGTGTCTCTGTCTCTGTCTGTGCGTCTGTGCGTCTGCGTGGAGCGGTGGTCTAGCGGTGAGCGCTATGAGCCCGGCGGCCCGAGTTTGATTCCCGCTCGCAGCCAACGCCAGTTGACGACCGAGCGCACAAAGTGGCTACGGCACGGCGATGGCAAAGTCGCCCCAACATACCCCACGCACACGCATGTAGCGTGTCGCCCTTACACCCCCGGTTACCTCCGATTGACACGCGCGTGGTACACACGCTTGCTGTGGGGGTGGAGTGTCCGATGGTACAAAATACCCAGGCAGGTGCTTAGTTTTGGTGGGGCTGATGGTAAGGCCCCACCTCTTAGTGGCAACGCTCCAGTCTCAGCAGCAGCGTCTCCAACTCCTCCTCTGACTGAGCAGCTATTACCAAATCATCAGCATACGTAACGTGGTTGAGCAATAGGGAGCCATCCCTTGACCGCACCCGGGCATCGATTAGCCTCCCATTGTATCTGCACCAGATGGAGATTCCCCCGGTACAGCTATTGAAGGCTTCACGAACTACGTGGTCAAAATAGATGTTAAATAATGTGGGAGCCAGAGGACATCCCCGTCGCACCCCAAGGTGTGCACAGGGAATGGCTCCGACTCCCGGCCACGTAGTTTTACCCGGGCCCGCTCACCACAACGAAGGTCCTTCATGAGCGTGAGCAGAGGCTCAGGTTGCTGATCTATTATTATTTTTTCTCTTTGTTTAATCAGGAGGGCAACGTTCCTTCACGTGGTGCGGTGCACGTGTGCCTGTGCGTGTGTGTGCGTGTGTGTGTGTGTGTGTGCCTGTGTGTGCGTGTGTGTGTGTGTGCGTGTGTGTGTGTGTGCGTGTGTGTGTGTGTGTGCGTGCCGGAGGGGCTGGGAGGTGTTGGTTACCTCGCCTGGTACACAGGCGGCGGCGGTTTCGACGCTGGACCCCAGACAGGGGTGGGGAAACTGTAGGAAAGTAAAAAAAAGTTTTAAAAAATCAAATAAAAAGGCACGATGGTGACGATGTTGAAAAAAAAAAGCACCCGAAAACTTTATTGTTGGCAAGGTGAGCTGCTTACGTAGATCGTCACATTCACGGCAGCAAATACTCCAAATGCACGCACGCACGCACACAAATACAAAGGTCTCCCGGATAGCCTGAACAGACTGTTGGGGCAAGTGCTGTTAGCGAGGCATTGTGTTCACTGCACGCCGCTACACCAGGTAACTCATTTGAGGCTGAGTCGACCTAGGGGAGGCCCGGGACCGGTTGGGATAATCGTCACCGGTGGTGTTGGCCGTGAGCGGGGATCAAACCCGGGTCGCCGGGCTCGCAGTGCTGTGCGCTAACCGCTGCACCGCCGCTCCCTACACACACACACAGAGACACACACAGACACACAGAGACACACACAGACACACACACAGACACAAAGACACAGACACACACACACACACATAGAGAGACACACACATAGAGACACAGAGAGACACACACACACAGACACAGAGACACACACAGAGACACACACACAGACACACAGACACACACACATAGAGAGACACACACAGAGACACACACATAGACACACACAGACACACAGAGAGACACACACACAGAGAAACACACACACAGAGAGACACACACACAGACACACAGACACACACACAGACACACACACAGACACAAAGACACACAGACAGACACACAGACAGACACACAGACATACAGACACACATACAGACACACATATAGACACACACAGTTACACACCCATAGACACACACAACAACCGCCATTCGCCACTAAGTGGCGGTGACGTCACCACGACGCTTGTGCCAGGCCACACGCACACACAGAGACGCACACAGACACACACAGAGACACACACAGACACACACAGAGACACACATACATAGACACACAGAGACACACAGAGACACACACAGACACACAGAGACAAACAGACACACAAAGATGAAGATTCACCGTATAGCCTGAACATTGTTAGGGCAAGTGCTATTAGGGGGTGACGTCATCCTCCAATATTTGAGGCACCGCAGCCTCAGCAGAGTCATCCTCACTTTGTGCCACGATGTTTTCCAGGCTGAGGGATTTCCCCTCCCCCAGGACCTCACAGAAATGCTCAGCGAATCTGCAAACCTGTTCCTGGGGATCGCAGATTTGATCACCGTTCTTTCCACTAATGATGGTAATAGGTGTGGTGCTGCAGGTTACTTTTTTGATGGAGTTAAATAAAGATTTGTGATCGCGGGCAACGGAGGCAGACTCCATCTCCTCAGCAACCCGCGACCACCACCCATCCTTGCAGCGCCTCACGGCTCTCCGAACCTCCGAGCGAAGGCTGCGGTAAGCCTCCTCATTCTCCGACGTGGGATTCTGTAGCCGATGACAGTGGGCCTGTCGCTTAACTCAGCCAGCGTGAACACCTCCTCTGTCAGCCAGGGTCTCTGGGGAGGTCTGGACCGCGTACCCAAAGCAACCATTGCAGCTGCATGAGTCACAGTCCTAAACCTCGCCCATTTACCCTCGACATCAGGAGGAGTCGGGGACGATGCCAACCCCAGCCGCAAGCGATGATGAAATTCTTGCAACTTTCATCAGCTAGCTGAGACCAGGCCACCTTAGGTTGGAATGGGGTCCTGGGTGTACACCCACCACCGGAGTGGAAGAATGGCAGGCGCATCTTACAGATGACAAGTCGATGGTTAGAGGGAAGATCAGCTCCACGGTAGGTCCTGGTGTCAAGGACATGGGCCTGCATCCGCTGGTCCGTCACTATGTAGTCCAGCAGATGTTCTTGCTTGGACCCGGCATACATCCATGATGTTGTGTGGATGCGCCGATGCTGGAACAGCGTGTAGGTAATTACAAGCCCATGGGCTGCATAAAAATCTAGCAGCCTCCTACCGTTGTTATTGAGCTGATCTGGCCCATGCTTTCCAATCACTCCAGACCAGGTGCCAGCATCATGACCAACTCGGGCATTGAAGTCACCCAACAAGATGACTCTATCCCGAGGGGCCACTTTAACCAACACCTGTGACAGGAGGTCTGCATCCCTCCACGGATGTTCGTCTTCGGTGGGGGCATAAGTAACCACGACCACCACTCCTCGCCTCCGGTTGATGGGAAGGTGAGCCCAAAGTAGCCTGGGGCTTACAGCTTCCCACACCTCACCGCCACGTCCCCACGCCCCTTCATTCTTTTGTTCAAAAGAAGACCCACACCCTGTTGTTTGGCAGTCTGCTGCCCCGAGTAGAGGACTGCCCACCCCTCATGGTGGCAGGAGCCAGAACCGGTCCACCGGACCTCCTGAATGCTACAGAGATCCAGGCGGTACCGGTCCAGCTCCCGACAGAGGAGTGGCAGCCTCTCCTCCGCAGTGAGCGTTCGAACATTCCACGTGGCCACACGAAGTGGCTTTTCGTTGTTTCTGGAGGAGCCCCGAGGGTAGAGATTCAATCTCCTGGCTCCGCCAATTGGGGTTTGGCCAGGAGACGTCATAGACGCCTGTCCCCCCGGGGCCTCCGGCACAAGCTTATTAATAAGATATTTTATACGTGGTTTAGTGGTAATTAATTGAAGGTGGAGGGGTTACCAGCCCCTCGCACTCATCCAGAGCCCCCGTTTAGCCACTGTGGTGGTCACAGATGCCATGAGGGGAGAGGCCAATCGGAATTGGACCTCCCCCCACAGCACTGTCCACGACAGAGTTGACCGTCCGGCATCACGAGGAGGTAGGGGGTTGTACACTCACACAGGCACACACAAAGACAAAGATCCCCCATATAGCCTTAACAGACTGTAGGGGCAAGTGCTGTTAGCGAGCACCTATGAAGGCCGGAACGGTACACGAGGCGGTGGGTGGCCAGCACCACGCCCGACCGCCTTTGTCTCCCTAGTGGCGATGTTTACACACCGCACCAGGTACTCATTTGAGGCTGAGTCGACCTAGGGGAGGCCCGGGACCGGTTCAGATAATCGTCACTGGTGTTGGCCGTGAGCGAGAATCGAACCCGGGTCGCCAGGTTCATAGCGCAGCGTAGCGCTAACCGCTACACCACCGCTCACCCGTTACACACAGTCACACAGTCACACAGGCACACACACTGACACACACACTCACACACTTAAACACACACTCATACACACTCACACACACTTACACACACACTCATACACACACACTCACACTCATACAGACTTACACACACACTCATACACACACTGACACACACTCATACACACACACACACTTACACACACACACTCATACACACTCACACACACTCATACACACACTCATACACACTCACACACACTCACACACACACAGACTTACACACACACACTCATACACACACTGACACACACTCACACACACACACACTGACACACACACTCATACACATTTAAACACACACTCATACAGACTCACACACACTTACACACACACTCATACACACTCATACACACTCACACACACTTACCCACACACACTCACACACACTCACTCATACACACACTCATACACACACACTCACACACACACTCACACACACTTACACAACAACAACAACAACAACCGCCATTCGCCACTAAGTGGCGGTGACGTCACCACGACGCTTGTGCCAGGCTATGTGCACCCTGAGGCCACGTGAAGTGTCGAACGCCCGCTGGCAGGAGGTCACGGGGCAGACCCAGGTGCCACGGGTCGACTGACTGAGATGACTGGCTGATGCACCACCTGTGCCCCCTACTGTGCCAACCTGCTGTGCTTTAGCCACCCGGCGCTCCGCTCGCTGTTGTGAGCGTCGCTCCTCCGCCCTCCGTTGTTGTTGGAGGGCGACTGCCTCCAACTGCCCAGTAGCATCCTTCACGAGCCTCCTCCACAGAGGCCGATCTTGACACCGCTGGTACCAGTCATCGGCAAGTCCACTCAGCTCCACGTCCTCCTGTACCACATCACTCCATCTCTTCTCTAGCCCGTGCCGCGCCCGCTTAGCCCCCTCAATCCGGCCAAACAAAAGCTGTTTCGGCATGCGGTGGCTGGGCATGCGGGCTACATGACCCAGCCATCGCAGCCTTGCCTGCCGGAGGAGCTCACCGATGGGACCCTGCCCAGATCTTTCAAGGATTTGTGAGCTCCTCACACAATCCAGTCTGGTTAAACCCAGGATGGATCGTAGGCAGGCCAGCCTAAATGTTTCTAACCGGCGAAGATGTTCCATTAGGGGGCTCCACGTTTCGCAAGCGTAGAGAAGGGAGGGAATGACCGTGGCCGAGAAGACCTGAAGCTTAGTGCGGAGCGACAGACCAGGTAGCTTCCACACAGCGTTACGCAACCGATGAAAAGATATTGCCGCTCGACTGATTCGGAGTGAGACCTCTGCTGTTAAACTGGAGCCAGTCATAAGCACACTGCCCAGGTATGGGAAACTCTCCACTCTCTCCACAACTGCCCCATCACCGATTGGGAGTTGTGGGGGTGGAGTGTCCGATGGTACAAAATACCCAGGCATGTGCTTAGTTTTAGTGGGGCTGATGGTAAGGCCCCACCTCTTAGTGGCACGCTCCAGTCTCAGCAGCAGCGTCTCCAACTCCTCCTCTGACTGAGCAGCGATTACCAAGTCATCAGCATACATAACGTGGTTGAGAAATAGGGAGCCATCCCTTGACCGCACCCGGGCATCGATTAGCCTCCCATTATATCTGTACCATATGGAGATTCCCCCGGTACAGCTATTGAAGGCTTCACGAACTACGTGGTCAAAATAGATGTTAAATAATGTGGGAGCCAGAGGACATCCCTGTCGCACCCCAAGGTGTACAGGGAATGGCTCTGACTCCCGGCCACGTAGTTTTACCCGGGCCCGCTCACCATCATGAAGGTCCTTAATGATCGTGAGCAGAGGGTCAGGTACTCCAAAAGCACGAAGAACGACCCAGAGCCCAGGCCTACTGATGGTATCATAGGCCTTGACCAGGTCAATAAAGCAGAGATGTAGGTCTTGTTGGAATTCCCTACACCTCTGCTGTAGCAGACGGACAGAAAATATGGCATCTGTGCAGGACCGCCCTTTCCTGAAACCGCATTGGGGCTCCGCAAGCCTCTCCTCAGCGTGCCTGGCAAGGCGATGCTGAATAATCCTTGCCAGGACCTTTCCCGGCACACTGAGGAGTGAGATGCCCCTGTAGTTGTTACAGTCTGTGCGGTCCCCCTTCTTAAAAAGGGGGACCACCAGGGCATCCTTCCAATCCTGCGGTACCCGTCCAGTGGTCCAGACTGTTGTTATGATGTCATATAGGGCAGTCTGTGCACAAACGCCACCCTCCCCTCAGCATTTCGCTTGGGTGATCATCTCTGCCCGCTGCCTTTCCTGGTCTCAGACTCCGGATCGCCTTCAATACTTCCTCAGCAGATGGCACCTCAGCCAGCCACTCACAGGGGGTGACTTCATCCAATATTTGAGCCACCGCAGCCTCAGCAGGGTCATCCTCACTTTGTGCCACGATGTTATCCTGGCTGAGGGATTTTCCCTCCCCCAGGACCTCACAGAAATGCTCAGCAAATCTGCGAACCTGTTCCTGGGGGTCGGAAATTGGATCACCGTTTTTTCCCCTAATGATGGTAATAGGTGTGGCGCTGCAGGTTACTTTTTTGATGGAGTTAAATAGAGATTTGTGATCACGGGCCACTGAGGCAGACTCCATCTCCTCAGCAACCCGCGACCACCACCCATCCTTGCAGCGCCTCACGGCTCTCCGAACCTCCGAGCGAAGGCTGCGGTAAGCCTCCTCATTCTCTGACGTGGGATTCTGTAGCCGATGACAGTGGGCCTGTCGCTTTTTCTCAACCATCCTGAACAACTCCTCTGTCATCCAGGGTGTCTGGGGAGGTCTGGACCGCGTACCCAAAGCAGCCATTGCAGCTGCATGAGTCACAGTCCTAAACCTCGCCCATTTACCCTCGACATCAGGAGGAGTCGGGGACGATGCCAATCCCAGCCGCAAGCGATGATGAAATTCTCGCTTGCAATTTTCATCAGATAACTGAGACCAGGCCACTTTAGGTTGGAATGGGGTCCTGGGTGTACACCCACCACCGGAGTGGAAGAATGGCAGGCGCATCTTACAGATGACTAGTCGATGGTCAGAGGGCAGATCAGCTCCACGGTAGGTCCTGGTGTCAAGGACATGGGCTCGCATTCGCTGGTCCATCACTATGTAGTCCAGCAGATGTTCTTGCTTGGACCCGGCATGCATCCATGATGTTGTGTGGATGCGCCGATGCCGGAACAGCGTGTTGGTAATTACAAGCCCATGGGCTGCACAAAAATCTAGCAGCCTCCTACCGTTGTTATTGAGCTGATCTGGCCCATGCCCTCCAATCACTCCAGACCAGGTGCCAGTATCATGACCAACTCGGGCATTGAAGTCACCCAACATGATGACTCTATCCCGAGGGGCCACTTTAGCCAGCACCTGTGACAGGAGGTTATAGAAGGCATCTGACTCATCGGCTTTGCCTGCATCCCTCCACGGATGTTCATCTTCGGTGGGGGCATAAGTAACCACGACCACCATTCCTCGCCTCCGGTTGATGGGAAGGCGAGCCCAAAATAGCCTGGGGCTTACAGCTTCCCACACCTCACCGCCACGCTCCCACGCCCCCTTCATGCTTTTGTTCAAAAGAAGACCCACACCCTGATGTTTGGCAGTCTGCTGCCCCGAGTAGAGGACTGTCCACCCCTCATGGTGGCAGGAGCCAGAGCCGGTCCACCGGACCTCCTGAATGCCGCATAGATCCAGGCGGTACCGGTCCAGCTCCCGACAGAGGAGTGGCAGCCTCTCCTCTGCAGTGAGCGTTCGAACATTCCACGTGGCCACCCGTAGTGGCTTTTCGTTGTTTCTGGAGTAGCCCCGAGGGTAGAGATTCAATCTCCTGGCTCCGCCAATTGGGGTTTGGCCAGGAGACGTCATAGACGCCTGGCCCCCCGGGGCCTCCGGCACAAGCTTAGTTGTTACATATTTCAGTTTAGCTCGTGGTTTAGTGGTAATTAATTGAAGGTGGAGGGGTTACCAGCCCCTCGCACCCGTCCAGAGCCCCCGTTTAGCCCCTGTGGTGGACACATATGCCATGAGGGGAGGAGCCAATCAAAATTGGATCTCCCCCCACAGCGCTGTCCACGACAGAGTTGCCCGTCCGGCACCGCGAGGAGGTAGGGGGTTGTTTTGCCGGACCACACTCATACACACACACACACTACACACACACCACCCTACACACACACTCACAGATGCCCACAGACACCCGTGAGGGCTCACGACGTGGAGGGGCGAGCCTCCGTCAGCTCCGTCGGCTCCGTCGGCTCCGTCGGCTCCGTCAGCTCCGTCAGCTCCGTCAGCTCCGTCAGCTGACCCCAGCTGGGCCCGGCGCTCAGCCTCACCGCCAGCGGGGTGGAGAGATGCAGTGCAGACATCATGCAGGATCGCACCATGTGACACACCTACACACACACACACAGTGACACACACACACACACAGTGACACACACACACAGTGACACACCTACACACACACACAGTGACACACACAGTGACACACCTACACACACAGTGACACACACACACACAGTGACACACACACACAGTGACACACACACACAGTGACACACACACAGTGACACACACACAGTGACACACATACACAGTGACACACACACAGTGACACACACACACACAGTGACACACATACACACACACACAGTGACACACACACACAGTGACACACACAGTGACACACACACACACAGTGACACACACACACACACAGTGACACACACACACACAGTGACACACACACACAGTGACACACACACACAGTGACACACACACAGTGACACACATACAGACACAGTGACACACACACAGTGACACACACACACACAGTGACACACACACACACAGTGACACACACACACACACACAGTGACACACACAGTGACACACACACACACACAGTGACACACACACACACAGTGACACACACACACAGTAACACACATACACACACAGTAACACACACACACACAGTGACACACACACACACAGTGACACACACACACACAGTGACACACACACACAGTGACACACACACACAGTGACACACACACACACAGTGACACACACACACACACAGTGACACACACACACACAGTGACACACACACACACACAGTGACACACCTACACACACACACAGTGACACACACACACACAGTGACACACACACACACAGTGACACACACACACACAGTGACACACACACACACACAGTGACACACCTACACACACACACAGTGACACACACACACACAGTGACACACACACACAGACACATTGACACACACACACAGTGACACACACACACAGTAACACACATGCACACACAGTGACACACACACACAGTGACACACCTACACACACACACACACAGTGACACACACACACACACAGTGACACACACACAGTGACAGACACACACACAGCGACACACACACACAGTGACACACACACACACAGTGACACACACACACAGTGACACACACACACACAGTGACACACACACACAGTGACACACACACACAGTGACACACACACAGTGACACACACACACAGTGACACACACACACACACAGTGACACACACACAGTGACACACATACACACACAGTGACACACACACAGTGACACACACACACACACAGTGACACACCTACACACACACACAGTGACACACACACACACAGTGACACACACACACAGTAACACACATACACACACAGTAACACACACACACAGTGACACACACACACAGTGACACACACACACAGTGACACACACACACACAGTGACACACACACACACACAGTGACACACACACACACACAGTGACACACCTACACACACACAGTGACACACACACACACACAGTGACACACACACACAGACACATTGACACACACACACAGTGACACACACACACAGTAACACACATACACACACAGTGACACACACACACACACAGTGACACACACACAGTGACACACACACACACAGTGACACACACACAGTGACACACACACAGTGACACACCTACACACACACACACAGTGACACACACACACACAGTGACACACACACAGTGACACACACACACACAGCGACACACACACACAGCGACACACATACACACAGTGACACACACACACACAGTGACACACACACACAGTGACACACATACACACACACAGTGACACACATACACACACAGTGACACACATACACAGTGACACACCTACACAGTGACACACAAATACACACACACATACACACAGTGACACACACACACAGTGACACACACACACACAGTGACACACACACAGTGACACACAGTGACACACACACAGTGACACACCTACACACACACACAGTGACACACACACACACACAGTGACACACCTACACACACACACACAGTAACAACAACAACAACCGCCATTAGCCACTAAGTGGCGGTGACGTCACCACGACGCTTGTGCCAGGCTATGTGCACCTTGAGGCCACGTGAAGTGTCGAACGCCCGCTGGCAGGAGGTCACGGGGCAGACCCAGATGCCACGGGTCGACTGACTGAGATGACTGGCTGATGCACCACCTGTGCCCCCTACAGTGCCAACCTGCTGTGCTTTAGCCACCCGGCGTTCCGCTCGTTGTTCTGAGCGTCGCTCCTCCGCCCTCCGTTGTTGTTGGAGGGCGACTACCTCCAACTGCCCAGTAGCATCCTTCACGAGCCTCCTCCACAGAGGCCGATCTTGACACCGCTGGTACCAGTCATCGGCAAGTCCACTCAGCTCCACATACTCCTGTACCACGTCACTCCATCTCTTCTCTAGCCCGTGCCGCGCCCGTTTAGCCCCCTCGATCCGGCTGAACAAAAGCTGTTTCGGCATGCGGTGGCTGGGCATGCGGGCTACATGACCCAGCCAACGCAGCCTTGCCTTCCGGAGGAGCTCACCGATGGGACCCTGCACAGATCTTTCAAGGATTTGTGAGCTCCTCACACAATCCAGTCTGGTTAAACCCAGGATGGATCGTAGGCAGGCTAGCCTAAATGTTTCTAACTGGCGAAGATGTTCCATTAGGGGGGTCCACGTTTCGCAAGCGTAGAGAAGGGAGGGAATGACCGTGGCCGAGAAGACCTGAAGCTTAGCGCGGAGCGACAGACCAGGTAGCTTCCACACAGCTTTACGCAACTGATGAAAAGATATTGCCGCTCGACTGATTCGGAGTGAGACCTCTGCTGTTAAACTGGAGCCGGTCATAAGCACACTGCCCAGGTATGGGAAACTCTCCACTCTCTCCACAACTGCCCCATCACCGATTGTGAGTTGTGGGGGTGGAGTGTCTGATGGTACAAAATACCCAGGCAGGTGCTTAGTTTTGGTGGGGCTGATGGTAAGGCCCCACCTCTTAGTGGCACGCTCCAGTCTCTGCAGCAGCGTCTCCAACTCCTCCTCTGACTGAGCAGCTATTACCAAATCATCAGCATACATAACGTGGTTGAGCAATAGGGAGCCATCCCTTGACCGCACCCGGGCATCGATTAGCCTCCCATTATATCTGTACCATATGGAGAGTCCCCCGGTACAGCTATTGAAGGCTTCACGAACTACGTGGTCAAAATAGATGTTAAAAAATGTGGGAGCCAGAGGACATCCCTGTCGCACCCCAAGGTGTACAGGGAATGGCTCTGACTCCCGGCCACGTAGTTTTACCCGGGCCCGCTCACCATCATGAAGGTCCTTAATGATCGTGAGCAGAGGGTCAGGGACTCCAAAAGCACGAAGAACAACCCAGAGCCCAGGCCTACTGATGGTATCATAGGCCTTGACCAGGTCAATAAAGCAGAGATGTAGGTCTTGCTGGAATTCACTACACCTCTGCTGTAGCAGACGGACAGAAAATATGGCATCTGTGCAGGACCGCCCTTTCCTGAAACCGCATTTGGGCTCCGCAAGCCTCTCCTCAGCGTGCCTGGCAAGGCGATGTTGAATAATCCTTGCCAGGACCTTTCCCGGCAACACTGAGGAGTGAGATGCCCCTGTAGTTGTTAGTCTGTGCGGTCCCCCTTCTTAAAGAGGGGGACCACCAGGGCATCCTTCCAATCCTGTGGAAACTGTCCAGTGGTCCAGACTGTTGTTATGATGTCATATAGGGCAGTCTGTGCACAAACGCCACCCTCCCTCAGCATTTCGCTTAGGAGATCATCTCTGCCCGCTGCCTTTCCTGGTCTCAGACTCCGGATCGCCTTCAGTACTTCCTCAACAGATGGCACCTCAGCCAGCCACTCACAGGGGGTGACTTCATCCAATATTTGAGGCACCGCAGCCTCAGCAGGGTCATCCTCACTTTGTGCCACGATGTTTTCCTGGCTGAGGGATTTCCCCTCCCCCACGACCTCACAAAAATGCTCAGCAAATCTGTAAACCTGTTCCTGGGGGTCGGAGATTGGATCACCGTTTTTTCCCCTAATGATGGAAATAGGTGTAGCGCTGCAGCTTACTTTTTTGATGGAGTTAAATAGAGATTTGTGATTGCAGGCCACTGAGGCAGACTCCATCTCCTCAGCAACCCACGACCACCACCCATCCTTGTAGCGCCTCACGGCTCTCCGAACCTCCGAGCGAAGGCTGCGGTAAGCCTCCTCATTCTCTGACGTGGGATTCTGTAGCCGATGACAGTGGGCCTGTCGCTTTTTCTCAACCATCCTGAACACCTCCTCTGTCAGCCAGGGTCTCTGGGGAGGTCTGGACCGCGTACCCAAAGCAGCCATTGCAGCTGCATGAGTCACAGTCCTAAACCTCACCCATTTACCCTCGACATCAGGAGGAGTCGGGGACGATGCCAATCCCAGCCGCAAGCGATGATGAAATTCTCGCTTGCAACTTTCATCAGATAACTGAGACCAGGCCACTTTAGGTTGGAATGGGGTCCTGGGTGTACACCCACCACCGGAGTGGAAGAATGGCAGGCGCATCTTACAGATGACTAGTCGATGGTCAGAGGGCAGATCAGCTCCACGGTAGGTCCTGGTGTCAAGGACATTGGGCTCGCATCCATTGGTCCGTCACTATGTAGTCCAGCAGATGTTCTTGCTTGGACCCGGCATGCATCCATGATGTTGTGTGGATGCGCCAATGCCGGAACAGCGTGTTGGTAATTACAAGCCCATGGGCTGCACAAAAATCTAGCAGCCTCCTACTGTTGTTATTGAGCTGATCTGGCCTATGCCCTCAAATCACTCCAGACCAGGTGCCAGCATCATGACCAACTCGGGCATTGAAGTCACCCAACATGATGACTCTATCCCGAGGGGCCACTTTAGCCAGCACCTGTGACAGGAGGTCATAGAAGGCATCTGACTCATTGGCTTTGCCTGCATCCCTCCACGGATGTTCATCTTCGGTGGGGGCATAAGTAACCACGACCACCATTCCTCACCTCCGGTTGATGGGAAGGCGAGCCCAAAGTAGCCTGGGGCTTACAGCTTCCCACACCTCACCGCCACGCTCCCACGCCCCCTTCATTCTTTTGTTCAAAAGAAGAGCCACACCCTGTTGTTTGGCAGTCTGCTGCCCCGAGTAGAGGACTGTCCACCCCTCACGGTGGCAGGACCCAGAACCGGTCCACCGGACCTCCTGAATGCCACAGAGATCCAGGCGGTACCGGTCCAGCTCCCGACAGAGGAGTGGCAGCCTCTCCTCTGCAGTGAGCGTTCGAACATTCCACGTGGCCACCCGTAGTGGATTTTCGTTGTTTCTGGAGTAGCCCCGAGGGTAGGTATTCAATCTCCTGGCTCCGCCAATTGGGGTTTGGCCAGGAGACGTCATAGACGCCTGGCCCCCCGGGGCCTCCAGCACAAGCTTATTAGTTACATATTTCAGTTTAATTCGTGGTTTCGTGGTAATTAATTGAAGGTGGAGGGGTTACCAGCCCCTCGCACCCGTCCAGAGCCCCCATTTAGCCGCTGTGGTGGACACAGACGCCATGAGGGGAGAGGGCCAATCGGAATTGGCCATCTCCCCACAGCACTGTCCACGACAGAGTTGCCCGTCCGGCACTGCGAGGAGGTAGGGGGTTGTTTTGCCACACCACAGTGACACACACACAGTGACACACACAGTGACACACAGACACACACAGTGACTCACACAGTGACACACACAGTGACACACACAGTGACACGTGACACACACACACAGACACACACACACAGTGACACACACAGTGACACACACACAGTGACACACACACAGTGACACACACACACACAGACACACACACACAGTGAAACACACACGCACACAGTGACACACACAGTGACACACACACACAGTGACACACACACAGTGACACACACAGTGACACACACACAGTGACACAACAACAACAACAACAACCGCCATTCGCCACTAAGTGGCGGTGACGTCACCACGACGCTTGTGCCAGGCTATGTGCACCGTGAGGCCACATGAAGTGTCGAACGCCCGCTGGCAGGAGGTCACGGGGCAGACCCAGGTGCCACGGGTCGACTGACTGAGATGACTGGCTGATGCACCACCTGTGCCCCCTACTGTGCCAACCTGCTGTGCTTTAGCCACCCGGCGCTCCGCTCGTTGTTGTGAGCGTCGCTCCTCCGCCCTCCGTTGTTGTTGGAGGGCGACTGCCTCCAACTGCCCAGTAGCATCCTTCACGAGCCTCCTCCACAGAGGCCGATCTTGACACCGCTGGTACCAGTCATCGGCAAGTCCACTCAGCTCCACGTCCTCCTGTACCACATCACTCCATCTCTTCTCTAGCCCGTGCCGCGCCCGCTTAGCCCCCTCAATCCGGCCAAACAAAAGCTGTTTCGGCATGCGGTGGCTGGGCATGCGGGCTACATGACCCAGCCATCACAGCCTTGCCTGCCGGAGGAGCTCACCGATGGGACCCTGCCCAGATCTTTCAAGGATTTGTGAGCTCCTCACACAATCCAGTCTGGTTCAACCCAGGATGGATCGTAGGCAGGCCAGCCTAAATGTTTCTAACCGGCGAAGATGTTCCATTAGGGGGGTCTACGTTTCGCAAGCGTAGAGAAGGGAGGGAATGACCGTGGCCGAGAAGACCTGAAGCTTAGTGCGGAGCGACAGACCAGGTAGCTTCCACACAGCGTTACGCAACCGATGAAAAGATATTGCCGCTCGACTGATTCGGAGTGAGACCTCTGCTGTTAAACTGGAGCCAGTCATAAGCACACTGCCCAGGTATGGGAAACTCTCCACTCTCTCCACAACTGCCCCATCACCGATTGGGAGTTGTGGGGGTGGAGTGTCCGATGGTACAACATACCCAGGCAGGTGCTTAGTTTTGGTGGGGCTGATGGTAAGGCCCCACCTCTTAGTGGCACGCTCCAGTCTCAGCAGCAGCGTCTCCAACTCCTCCTCTGACTGAGCAGCTATTACCAAATCATCAGCATACATAACGTGGTTGAGCAATAGGGAGCCATCCCTTGACCGCACCCGGGCATCGATTAGCCTCCCATTATATCTGTACCATATGGAGATTCCCCCGGTACAGCTATTGAAGGCATCACAAACTACGTGGTCAAAATAGATGTTAAATAATGTGGGAGCCAGAGGACATCCCTGTCGCACCCCAAGGTGTACAGGGAATGGCTCTGACTCCCGGCCACGTAGTTTTACCCGGGCCCGCTCACCATCATGAAGGTCCTTAATGATCGTGAGCAGAGGGTCAGGTACTCCAAAAGCACGAAGAACGACCCAGAGCCCAGGCCTACTGATGATATCATAGGCCTTGACCAGGTCAATAAAGTGACACACACAGTGACACACACACACAGTGACACACACAGTGACACACACACAGTGACACACACACAGTGACACACACAGTGACACACACACAGTGACACACACACAGTGACACACACACACACACACAGTGACACACACACAGTGACACACACACACAGTGACACACACACTGACACACACACACAGTGACACACACACACACACAGTGACACACACACAGTGACACACACACACAGTGACACACACACACAGTGACACACACAGTGACACACACAGACAGTGACACACACACAGTGACACACACACACACAGTGACACACACAGTGACACACACACACACACACAGTGACACACACAGTGACACACAAAGTGACACACACACAGTGAGACACACACAGTGACACACACACAGTGACACACACACACACAGTGACACACACACACAGTGACACACACAGTGACACACACACAGTGACACACACACAGTGACACACAGTGACACACACAGTGACACACACACACACAGTGACACACACACAGTGACAAACACAGTGACACACACACACAGTGACACACACAGTGACACACACAGTGACACACACACAGTGACACACACAGTGACACACACACAGTGACACACACAGTGACACACACAGTGACACACACACACAGTGACACACACAGTGACACACACACACAGTGACACACACAGTGACACACACACACAGTGACACACAGTGACACACACACACAGTGACACACACACACAGTGACACACACACACAGTGACACACACAGTGACACACACACACAGTGACACACACAGTGACACACACACACAGTGACACACACACACACACAGTGACACACACACACAGTGACACACACACACAGTGACACACACAGTGACACATACACACAGTGACACACAGTGACACACACACAGTGACACACACACACACAGTGACACACACACACAGTGACACACACACAGTGACACACACACACAGTGACACACACACAGTGACACACACAGTGACACACACACACAGTGACACACACAGTGACACACACAGTGACACACACACAGTGACACACACACAGTGACACACACACACACACAGTGACACACAGAGTGACACACAGAGTGACACACACAGTGACACACACAGTGACACACACACAGTGACACACACAGTGACACACACACACACACAGTGACACACACACAGTGACACACACACACAGTGACACACACAGTGACACACACAGTGACACACACACAGTGACACACACACACACACAGTGACACACACAGTGACACACACAGTGACACACACAGTGACACACACACAGTGACACACACACAGTGACACACACAGTGACACACACAGTGACACACACAGTGACACACACACACAGTGACACACACAGTGACACACACACAGTGACACACACACACACACAGTGACACACACACACAGTGACACACACAGTGACACACACACACAGTGACACACACAGTGACACACACACACAGTGACACACACACACACACAGTGACACACACACACAGTGACACACACACACAGTGACACACACACACACAGTGACACACACAGTGACACACACACACAGTGACACACAGTGACACACACACACAGTGACACACACACACACACAGTGACACACACACACAGTGACACACACACAGTGACACACACACACAGTGACACACACACAGTGACACACACAGTGACACACACACACAGTGACACACACAGTGACACACACAGTGACACACACACAGTGACACACACACAGTGACACACACACACACAGTGACACACAGAGTGACACACACACACAGTGACACACTCACACACAGTGACACACACACACAGTGACACACACACACACACAGTGACACACACACACACAGTGACACACACACACACACACAGTGACACACACACACAGTGACACACACACACACAGTGACACACACAGTGACACACACACACAGTGACACACACACAGTGACACACACACACAGTGACACACACACAGTGACACACACACACACAGTGACACACACACAGTGACACACACACACACACAGTGACACACACAGTGACACACACAGTGACACACACACAGTGACACACACAGTGACACACACACAGTGACACACACACACACACAGTGACACACACAGTGACACACACAGTGACACACACACACACAGTGACACACACAGTGACACACACACACACAGTGACACACACACACAGTGACACACACAGTGACACACACACAGTGACACACACAGTGACACACACAGTGACACACACACACAGTGACACACACACAGTGACACACACACACAGTGACACACACACACAGTGACACACAGTGACACACACACACAGTGACACACACACACAGTGACACACACAGTGACACACACACACAGTGACACACACAGTGACACACACACACACGGTGCCACACACCTGCATGAGGTCCCGTTCCGCAACTTCGTACACCAGCTCGTCATGCATCTGCAGCACCAGGTAGGCCCCTCTGAGCTCTGAGCGAGACACGGGGGGTGGGTGGGTGAGTGGGTGGATGGGTGGGTGAGTGAGTGGGTGGGTAAGTGGGTGAGTGAGTGGGTGAGTGAGTGGGTGAGTGGGTGAGTGGGTGGGTGGGTGAGTGAGTGAGTGAGTGGGTGAGTGAGTGAGTGGGTGAGTGGGTGAGTGAGTGGGTGGGTGGGTGAGTGAGTGAGTGGGTGAGTGAGTGAGTGGGTGAGTGGGTGGGTGGGTGAGTGAGTGGGTGAGTGGGTGAGTGAGTGGGTGGGTGGGTGAGTGAGTGAGTGGGTGAGTGAGTGAGTGGGTGAGTGAGTGGGTGAGTGGGTGAGTGGGTGGGTGGGTGAGTGAGTGAGTGAGTGGGTGGGTGGGTGAGTGGGTGGATGAGTGGGTGGGTGGGTGAGTGAGTGGGTGGGTGAGTGGGTGGGTGAGTGGGTGGGTGAGTGGGTGGTGAGTGGGTGGGTGAGTGAGTGGGTGAGTGGGTGGGTGGGTGGGTGAGTGAGTGGGTGAGTAGGTGAGTGGGTGGGTGGGTGGGTGAGTGAGTGGGTGGGTGGGTGGGTGAGTGGGTGAGTGGGTGAGTGGGTGGGTGAGTGGGTGAGTGAGTGGGTGGGTGGGTGAGTGGGTGGGTGGGTGAGTGAGTGAGTGGGTGGGTGGGTGGGTGAGTGGGTGGGTGGGTGGGTGAGTGGGTGGATGAGTGGGTGGGTGGGTGGGTGAGTGAGTGGGTGGGTGAGTGGGTGGGTGAGTGGGTGGTGAGGGGATGAGTGAGTGGGTGGGTGAGTGAGTGGGTGAGTGGGTGGGTGAGTGGGTGGTGAGTGGGTGGGTGAGTGAGTGGGTGAGTGGGTGAGTAGGTGGGTGGGTGGGTGAGTGAGTGGGTGAGTAGGTGAGTGGGTGGGTGGGTGGGTGAGTGGGTGAGTGAGTGGGTGGGTGGGTGAGTGGGTGAGTGGGTGGGTGAGTGGGTGAGTGGGTGAGTGGGTGGGTGAGTGGGTGAGTGGGTGGGTGGGTGGGTGAGTGGGTGAGTGGGTGGGTGAGTGGGTGGGTGAGTGGGTGGGTGAGTGGGTGGGTGAGTGGGTGAGTGGGTGAGTGAGTGGGTGGGTGAGTGGGTGGGTGAGTGAGTGAGTGGGTGAGTGGGTGAGTGAGTGGGTGAGTGGGTGAGTGGGTGGGTGAGTGGGTGAGTGGGTGGGTGGGTGAGTGGGTGGGTGAGTGGGTGAGTGGGTGGGTGGGTGAGTGGGTGGGTGAGTGGGTGAGTGGGTGGGTGGGTGAGTGGGTGGGTGAGTGGGTGGGTGGGTGGGTGAGTGGGTGGGTGGGTGAGTGAGTGGGTGGGTGAGTGGGTGGGTGGGTGGGTGAGTGAGTGGGTGGGTGAGTGGGTGGGTGGGTGGGTGGGTGGGTGAGTGGGTGGGTGGGTGGGTGGGTGAGTGGGTGGGTGGTGGGTGAGTGGGTGGGTGAGTGGGTGGGTGGGTGGGTGAGTGGGTGGGTGCGTGGGTGGGTGGGTGAGTGGGTGGGTGGGTGAGTGGGTGAGTGGGTGGGTGGTGAGGGGGTGAGTGAGTGAGTGAGTGGGTGGGTGGGTGGGTGAGTGGGTGAGTGGGTGAGTGAGTGGGTGAGTGGGTGGGTGAGTGGGTGAGTGAGTGGGTGAGTGGGTGAGTGGGTGGGTGGGTGGGTGAGTGAGTGAGTGGGTGAGTGGGTGGGTGAGTGGGTGAGTGGGTGGGTGGGTGGTGAGGGGGTGAGTGGGTGGGTGAGTGGGTGAGTGGGTGGGTGGGTGAGTGGGTGGGTGAGTGGGTGAGTGGGTGGTGAGTGGGTGGGTGAGTGAGTGGGTGAGTGGGTGGGTGGGTGGGTGAGTGAGTGGGTGAGTAGGTGAGTGGGTGGGTGGGTGGGTGAGTGAGTGGGTGGGTGGGTGGGTGAGTGGGTGGATGAGTGGGTGGGTGGGTGGGTGAGTGGGTGAGTGAGTGGCTGGGTGGCTGAGTGACTGTGTCACTGAGTGGCAATGGGGGAGAGAGACAAAGGCGGCCGGGCGTGGTGGTGCTGCCGACCGCCCACCCCCCTCTCTGTGTGTGTAGCCACAGTGCCGGTAGCCTTCATAGGCGCTGCCGCTACTGGCTGACAGCACTTGGCCCTGCAGCCTGTAACAGGCTACCTGGGGGAGCTTTGTCTGTGGAACGTTGCTCAGGACATCCCCCACGACCCCCACCACGACCCCCACCACGACCCCTCCACGACCCCTCCACGACCCCTCCACGACCCCTCCACGACCCCTCCACGACCCCACCACGACCCCTCCACGACCCCTCCCCATGACCCCACCACGACCCCTCCACGACCCCACCACGACCCCTCCACGACCCCCACCATGACCCCACCACGACCCCCACCACGACCCCACCACGACCCCTCCACGACCCCACCACGACCCCACCACGACCCCACCACGACCCCCTCCCCATGACCCCACCACGACCCCACCACGACCCCCCCCCAGCGCTGACCCTGGTGGCTGTCGCCGTCGAGGGGGGGGTGGGCGAGTGAGGGGGGGCGGGCGAGGGGGAAGGCCGCCTCCAGCTCCGCCTGCACGGCCACGCAGGCCGCCTTCACCACGTCACTAGCGGAGCCCTGGAGCACGGAGTTCACAGCCTGGCGCTCCGCCTGGGGGGAGACATGACGTCACGCGGAGCACACAGTTCACAGCCTGGTGGGGGAGGGGAGACATGACGTCACGTGTAGCTCCTCCTGCACGGCCACGCAGGCCGCCTTCACCACGTCACTAGCGGAGCCCTGGAGCACGGAGTTCACAGCCTGGCGCTCCGCCTTGGGGGGGAGAGACATGACGTCACTAGCGGAGTACACAGAGTTTACAGCCTGGAGGGGGAGGGGAGACATGACGTCACGTGCAGCTCCGCCTGCACGGCCACGCAGGCCGCCTTCACCACGTCACTAGCGTAGCCCTGGAGCACGGAGTTCACAGCCTGGCGCTCCGCCTGGGGGGAGAGACATGACGTCACGTGGAGCACACAGAATTCATAGCCTGGTGGGGGGAGACATGACGTCACTAGCGGAGCCCTGGAGCACGGAGTTCACAGCCTGGCGCTCCGCCTGGGGGGAGAGACATGACGTCACGTGGAGCACACAGAGTTTACAGCCTGGTGGGGGGGGGGAGACATGACGTCACGTGTAGCTCCTCCTGCACGGCCACGCAGGCCGCCTTCACCACGTCACTAGCGGAGCCCTGGAGCACGGAGTTCACAGCCTGGCGCTCCGCCTGGGGGGGAGAGACATGACGTCACTAGCGGAGCACACAGAGTTTACAGCCTGGTGGGGGGAGACATGACGTCACTAGCGGAGCCCTGGAGCACAGAGTTTACAGCCTGGCGCTCTGCCTGGGGGGAGACATGACGTCACGCGGAGTACACAGAGTTTACAGCCTGGTGGGGGGAGACATGACGTCACTAGCGGAGCCCTGGAGCACAGAGTTTACAGCCTGGCGCTCCGCCTGGGGGAGACATGACGTCACGCGGAGCACACAGAGTTTACAGCCTGGTGGGGGGAGACATGACGTCACTAGCAGAGCCCTAAAGCACAGAGTTTACAGCCTGGCACTCCGCCTGGGGGGAGAGACATGACGTCACGTGGAGCACACAGAGTTCACAGCCTGGTAGAGGGAGACATGACGTCACTAGCGGAGCCCTGGAGTAGAATTCACTGCCTGGTGGGGAGACATGACGTCACGTGGAGCACAGAGTTCACAGCCTGGCGCTCCGCCTGGTGGTGGGGGAGGGGAGACATGACGTCACGTGGAGCACAGAGTTCACTGCCTGGTGCTCCGCCTGGTGGTGGAGACATGACGTCACGTGAACCACAGAGTTCACCGTGTCTCCCAGTGTCTCCCCGTGTCTCCCCGTGTCTCCCCGTGTCTCCACCCATCTCCCCGTGTCTCCCCGTGTCTCACCGTGTCTCCCAGTGTCTCCCCGTGTCTCCCCGTGTCTCCCCGTGTCTCCACCCATCTCCCCGTGTCTCCCCGTGTCTCACCGTGTCTCCCCGTGTCTCACCGTGTCTCCACGTGTCTCCCAGTGTCTCCCCGTGTCTCACCGTGTCTCCACCCATCTCCCCGTGTCTCCCCGTGTCTCCCCGTGTCTCACCGTGTCTCCACGTGTCTCCCAGTGTCTCCCCGTGTCTCACCGTGTCTCCACCCATCTCCCCGTGTCTCCCCGTGTCTCACCGTGTCTCCCCGTGTCTCACCGTGTCTCCACGTGTCTCCCAGTGTCTCCCCGTGTCTCACCGTGTCTCCACCCATCTCCCCGTGTCTCCCCGTGTCTCACCGTGTCTCCCCGTGTCTCACCGTGTCTCCACGTGTCTCCCAGTGTCTCCCCGTGTCTCCCCGTGTCTCCACCCATCTCCCCGTGTCTCCCCGTGTCTCCCCGTGTCTCCCCGTGTCTCCCAGTGTCTCCCCGTGTCTCACCGTGTCTCCCCGTGTCTCCCCGTGTCTCCACGTGTCTCACCGTGTCTCCACCCATCTCCCCGTGTCTCCACGTGTCTCCACGTGTCTCCCAGTGTCTCCCAGTGTCTCACCGTGTCTCCCCGTGTCTCCCCGTGTCTCCCAGTGTCTCCCCGTGTCTCCCCGTACCTGTGCACGTCTCCCCGTGTCTCCCCGTGTCTCACCGTGTCTCTCCCCGTGTCTCCCTGTACCTGTGCACGTCTCCCCGTGTCCGTGGACAGGATGTCCGGAAGCAGCCTGCGTCTGCCCGTGATTGTCTCCACGTGTCTCACCGAGTCTCCCCGTGTCTCCACCCATCTCCCCGTGTCTCCCCGTGTCTCCCCGTGTCTCCACCCATCTCCCCGTGTCTCCCCGTGTCTCCCCGTGTCTCCACCCATCTCCCCGTGTCTCCACGTGTCTCCCCGCGTGTCTCCCCGTACCTGTGCACGTTTCCCCGTGTCCGTGGACAGGATGTCCGGAAGCAGCCTGCGTCTGCCCGTGATTGTCTCCACGTGTCTCACCGTGTCTCCCAGTGTCTCCACGTGTCTCACCGTGTCTCCCAGTGTCTCCACCCATCTCCCCGTGTCTCCCCGTGTCTCCCCGTGTCTCCACCCATCTCCCCGTGTCTCCACGTGTCTCTCCCCGTGTCTCCCCGTGTCTCACCGTGTCTCCCCGAGTCTCCCCGTGTCTCCCAGTGTCTCACCGTGTCTCCACCCATCTCCCCGTGTCTCCCCGTGTCTCCCCGTGTCTCACCGTGTCTCCCAGTGTCTCCCCGTGTCTCCCAGTGTCTCCCCGTGTCTCCCCGTGTCTCCCAGTGTCTCCCCGTGTCTCCCCGTGTCTCCCAGTGTCTCCCCGTGTCTCACCGTGTCTCCCAGTGTCTCCCCGTGTCTCCCAGTGTCTCCCCGTGTCTCCCCGTGTCTCCCAGTGTCTCCCCGTGTCTCCCCGTGTCTCCACCCATCTCACCGTGTCTCACCGTGTCTCCCCGTGTCTCCCCGTGTCTCCCCGAGTCTCCGCTAGTCTCACCGTGTCCCCCCGTGCCTCCACCCATCTCCCCGTGTCTCCCAGTGTCTCACCGTGTCTCCACGTGTCTCCCCGTGTCTCCACCCATCTCCCCGTGTCTCCACGTGTCTCCCAGTGTCTCACCGTGTCTCCCAGTGTCTCCCCGTGTCTCCACCCATCTCCCCGTGTCTCCCCGCGTGTCTCCCTGTACCTGTGCACGTTTCCCCGTGTCCGTGGACAGGATGTCCGGAAGCAGCCTGCGTCTGCCCGTGATTGTCTCCATGTGTCTCACCGTGTCTCCACGTGTCTCCCCGTGTCTCCCCGTGTCTCCCAGTGTCTCCCAGTGTCTCACCGTGTCTCCCCGTGTCTCCCCGCGTGTCTCCCCATACCTGTGCACGTTTCCCCGTGTCCGTGGACAGGATGTCCGGAAGCAGCCTGCGTCTGCCCGTGATTGTCTCCACGTGTCCGTGTCTCCGGCAGTAGTCCACAGTCCGTCTCAGGAAGTCTCGGACGCCTGCAGACGGAAGATGTAGCCAGTAGTTGTATAGTTATATTGTCTGTAGTTGTGCAGTCTGTAGTTGTGTAGTCTGTAGTATCTATAGTTGTATAGTCTGTAGTTGTGTAGTCTGTAGTTGTGTAGCCTGTAGTTATATAGTCTGTAGTTGTGTAGTCTGTAGTTGTGTAGTATCTATAGTTATATAGTCTGTAGTTGTGTAGTCTGTAGTTGTGTAGTATCTATAGTTGTATAGTCTGTAGTTGTGTAGTCTGTAGTTGTATAGTCTGTAGTTGTGTAGTCTGTAGTTATATAGTCTGTAGTTGTGTAGTCTGTAGTTGTATAGTCTGTAGTTGTGTAGTCTGTAGTTGTGTAGTCTGTAGTTGTGTAGTCTGTAGTTGTATAGTCTGTAGTTGTGTAGTCTGTAGTTGTGTAGTCTGTAGTTGTGTAGTTATATAGTCTGTAGTTGTGTAGACTGTAGTTGTGTAGTCTGTAGTTGTGTAGTCTGTAGTTGTGTAGTTATATAGTCTGTAGTTGTGTAGACTGTAGTTGTGTAGTCTGTAGTTGTGTAGCCTGTAGTTATATAGTCTGTAGTTGTGTAGTCTGTAGTTGTGTAGTATCTATAGTTATATAGTCTGTAGTTGTGTAGTCTGTAGTTGTGTAGTATCTATAGTTGTATAGTCTGTAGTTGTGTAGTCTGTAGTTGTATAGTCTGTAGTTGTGTAGTCTGTAGTTGTGTAGTCTGTAGTTGTGTAGCCTGTAGTTATATAGTCTGTAGTTGTGTAGTCTGTAGTTGTATAGTCTGTAGTTGTGTAGTCTGTAGTTGTGTAGTCTGTAGTTGTGTAGTCTGTAGTTGTATAGTCTGTAGTTGTGTAGTCTGTAGTTGTGTAGTCTGTAGTTGTGTAGTTATATAGTCTGTAGTTGTGTAGACTGTAGTTGTGTAGTCTGTAGTTGTGTAGTCTGTAGTTGTATAGTCTGTAGTTGTGTAGTCTGTAGTTGTGTAGTATCTATAGTTGTGTAGTCTGTAGTTGTGTAGTCTGTAGTTGTGTAGTCTGTAGTTATGTAGTCTGTAGTTGTGTAGTATCTGTAGTTGTGTAGTCTGTAGTTGTGTAGTCTGTAGTATCTGTAGTTGTGTAGTCTGTAGTTGTGTAGTCTGTAGTTGTGTAGTCTGTAGTATCTGTAGTTGTGTAGTCTGTAGTTGTGTAGTCTGTAGTTGTGTAGTATCTGTAGTTGTATAGTCTGTAGTATCTATAGCTGTATAGTCTGTAGTCTCTATAGTTGTATAGTCTGTAGTATCTATAGTTGTATAGTCTGTAGTATCTATAGTTGTATAGTCTGTAGTATCTATAGTTGTATAGTTTGTAGTCTCTATAGTTGTATAGTCTGTAGTATCTATAGTTGTATAGTCTGTAGTATCTATAGTTGTATAGTCTGTAGTCTCTATAGTTGTATAGCCTGTAGTATCTATAGTTGTATAGTCTGTAGTTGTATAGTCTGTAGTATCTATAGTTGTATAGTCTGTAGTATCTATAGTTGTATAGTCTGTAGTATCTATAGTTGTATAGTCTGTAGTATCTATAGCTGTATAGTCTGTAGTATCTATAGTTGTATAGTCTGTAGTATCTATAGTTGTATAGTCTGTAGTATCTATAGTTGTATAGTCTGTAGTATCTATAGTTGTATAGTCTGTAGTATCTATAGTTGTATAGTCTGTAGTATCTATAGTTGTATAGTCTGTAGTTGTATAGTCTGTAGTATCTATAGTTGTATAGTCTGTAGTATCTATAGTTGTATAGTCTGTAGTATCTATAGTTGTATAGTCTGTAGTATCTATAGCTGTATAGTCTGTAGTCTCTATAGTTGTATAGTCTGTAGTAGCTATAGTTGTATAGTCTGTAGTATCTATAGTTGTATAGTCTGTAGTATCTATAGTTGTATAGTCTGTAGTATCTATAGTTGTATAGTCTGTAGTCTCTATAGTTGTATAGTATGTAGTATCTATAGCTGTATAGTCTGTAGTTTCTATAGTTGTATAGTCTGTAGTATCTATAGTTGTATAGTCTGTAGTATCTATAGTTGTATAGTCTGTAGTATCTATAGTTGTATAGTCTGTAGTCTCTATAGTTGTATAGCCTGTAGTATCTATAGTTGTATAGTCTGTAGTTGTATAGTCTGTAGTATCTATAGTTGTATAGTCTGTAGTATCTATAGTTGTATAGTCTGTAGTATTTATAGTTGTATAGTCTGTAGTATCTATAGCTGTATAGTCTGTAGTATCTATAGTTGTATAGTATGTAGTATCTATAGTTGTATAGTATGTAGTATCTATAGCTGTATAGTCTGTAGTTTCTATAGTTGTATAGTCTGTAGTATCTATAGTTGTATAGTCTGTAGTATCTATAGTTGTATAGTCTGTAGTATCTATAGTTGTATAGTCTGTAGTATCTATAGTTGTATAGTCTGTAGTATCTATAGTTGTATAGTCTGTAGTATCTATAGTTGTATAGTCTGTAGTATCTATAGTTGTATAGTCTGTAGTTGTATAGTCTGTAGTATCTATAGTTCTATAGTCTGTAGTATCTATAGTTGTATAGTCTGTAGTATCTATAGTTGTATAGTCTGTAGTATCTATAGCTGTATAGTCTGTAGTCTCTATAGTTGTATAGTCTGTAGTAGCTATAGTTGTATAGTCTGTAGTATCTATAGTTGTATAGTCTGTAGTGTCTATAGTTGTATAGTCTGTAGTATCTATAGTTGTATAGTCTGTAGTCTCTATAGTTGTATAGTCTGTAGTATCTATAGTTGTATAGTCTGTAGTATCTATAGGTGTATAGTCTGTAGTCTCTATAGTTGTATAGTCTGTAGTATCTATAGTTGTATAGTCTGTAGTATCTATAGTTGTATAGTCTGTAGTGTCTATAGTTGTATAGTCTGTAGTCTCTATAGTTGTATAGTCTGTAGTATCTATAGTTGTATAGTATGTAGTATCTATAGTTGTATAGTCTGTAGTATCTATAGTTGTATAGTCTGTAGTATCTATAGTTGTATAGTCTGTAGTTGTATAGTCTGTAGTATCTATAGTTGTATAGTCTGTAGTATCTATAGTTGTATAGTCTGTAATATCTATAGTTGTATAGTCTGTAGTATCTATAGTTGTATAGTCTGTAGTATCTATAGTTGTATAGTCTGTAGTATCTATAGTTGTATAGTCTGTAGTCTCTATAGTTGTATAGTCTGTAATATCTATAGTTGTATAGTCTGTAGTATCTATAGTTGTATAGTCTGTAGTATCTATAGTTGTATAGTCTGTAGTATCTATAGTTGTATAGTCTGTAGTATCTATAGTTGTATAGTCTGTAGTATCTATAGTTGTATAGTCTGTAGTATCTATAGTTGTATAGTCTGTAGTTGTATAGTCTGTAGTATCTATAGTTGTATAGTCTGTAGTATCTATAGTTGTATAGTCTGTAATATCTATAGTTGTATAGTCTGTAGTATCTATAGTTGTATAGTCTGTAGTATCTATAGTTGTATAGTCTGTAGTATCTATAGTTGTATAGTCTGTAGTCTCTATAGTTGTATAGTCTGTAATATCTATAGTTGTATAGTCTGTAGTATCTATAGTTGTATAGTCTGTAGTATCTATAGTTGTATAGTCTGTAGTATCTATAGTTGTATAGTCTGTAGTATCTATAGTTGTATAGTCTGTAGTATCTATAGTTGTATAGTCTGTAGTATCTATAGTTGTATAGTCTGTAGTATCTATAGTTGTATAGTCTGTAGTATCTATAGTTGTATAGTCTGTAGTATCTATAGTTGTATAGTCTGTAGTATCTATAGTTGTATAGTCTGTAGTATCTATAGTTGTATAGTCTGTAGTATCTATAGTTGTATAGTCTGTAGTATCTATAGTTGTATAGTCTGTAGTATCTATAGCTGTATAGTCTGTAGTATCTATAGTTGTATAGTCTGTAGTATCTATAGCTGTATAGACATCACTATAGTTGTGTAGTTGTGACTCTGGTTGTGACTCTGGTTGTGACTCTGGTTGTGACTCTAGTTGTGACTCTAGCTGTGACTCTGGTTGTGACTCTGGTTGTGACTCTGGTTGTGACTCTGGTTGTGACTCTGGTTGTGTGGTTGTTACTCTAGTTGTGACTCTAGTTGTGACTCTAGCTGTGACTCTAGCTGTGACTCTGGTTGTGACTCTGGATGTGACTCTAGTTGTGACTCTAGTTGTGACTCTAGTGTTAATCTAGTTGTGACTCTGGTTGTGACTCTGGTTGTGACTCTAGTTGTGTGGTTGTGACTCTAGTTGTGACTCTAGTTGTGACTCTAGCTGTGACTCTAGCTGTGACTCTAGCTGTGACTCTTAGCTGTGACTCTGGTTGTGACTCTAGTTGTGACTCTAGTTGTGACTCTAGTTGTGACTCTGGTTGTGACTCTGGTTGTGACTCTAGCTCTGACTCTGGTTGTGACTCTGGTTGTGTAGTTGTGACTCTAGTGTGAATCTAGTTGTGACTCTGGTTGTGACTCTGGTTGTGACTCTAGTTGTGTGGTTGTTACTCTAGTTGTGACTTTAGTTGTGACTCTAGCTGTGACTCTAGCTGTGACTCTGGTTGTGACTCTGGTTGTGACTCTAGTTGTGACTCTAGTTGTGACTCTGGTTGTGACTCTAGCTCTGACTCTGGTTGTGACTCTGGTTGTGTGGTTGTGACTCTAGTTGTGACTCTAGTTGTGACTCTAGCTGTGACTCTAGCTGTGACTCTAGTTATGACTCTAGTTGTGACTCTAATTGTGACGCTGGTTGTGACTCTGGTTGACTCTAGTTGTGAATCTAGTTGTGACTCTAGTTGTGACTCTAATTGTGACGCTGGTTGTGACTCTGGTTGACTCTAGTTGTGAATCTAGTTGTGACTCTAGTTGTGACTCTAGCTGTGACTCTGGTTGTGACTCTAGTTGTGACTCTAGTTGTGACTCTAGTTGTGACTCTAGTTGTGACTCTGGCTGTGACTCTAGCTGTGACTCTAGCTGTGACTCTAGTTGTGACTCTGCTTGTGACTCTAGTTGTGTGGTTGTGACTCTAGTTGTGACTCTAGCTGTAACTCTAGTTGTCTAGTTGTGACTCTATTTGTGACTCTAGTTGTGACTCTAGTTGTCTAGTTGTGACTCTAGTTGTGACTCTAGCTGTGACTCTAGTTGTGACTCTAGCTGTGACTCTAGTTGTGACTCTAGTTGTCTAGTTGTGACTCTAGTTGTGACTCTAGTTGTGACTCTAGTTGTGACTCTGGTTGTGACTTTAGTTGGGACTCTGTCTGTGTGGTTGTGACTCTAGTTGTGACTCTAGCTGTGACTCTAGTTATGACTAGTTGTGACTCTAATTGTGACGCTGGTTGTGACTCTGGTTGACTCTAGTTGTGAATCTAGTTGTGACTCTAGTTGTGACTCTAGATGTGACTCTAGCTGTGACTCTAGTTATGACTCTAGTTGTGACTCTAATTGTGACGCTGGTTGTGACTCTGGTTGACTCTAGTTGTGACTCTAGTTGTGACTCTAATTGTGACGCTGGTTGTGACTCTGGTTGACTCTAGTTGTGAATCTAGTTGTGACTCTAGTTGTGACTCTAGCTGTGACTCTGGTTGTGACTCTAGTTGTGACTCTAGTTGTGACTCTAGCTGTGACTCTGGCTGTGACTCTGGCTGTGACTCTAGCTGTGACTCTAGTTGTGACTCTAGCTGTGACTCTAGTTGTGACTCTGGTTGCGATTCTAGTTGTGACTCTAGTTGTGACTCTGCTTGTGACTCTAGTTGTGTGGTTGTGACTCTAGTTGTGACTCTAGCTGTAACTCTAGTTGTCTAGTTGTGACTATATTTGTGACTCTAGTTGTGACTCTAGTTGTCTATTTGTGACTCTAGTTGTGACTCTAGCTGTGACTCTAGTTGTGACTCTAGCTGCGACTCTAGTTGTGACTCTAGTTGTGACTCTAGTTGTCTAGTTGTGACTCTAGTTGTGACTCTGGTTGTGACTTTAGTTGGGACTCTGTCTGTGTGGTTGTGACTCTAGTTGTGACTCTAGCTGTGACTCTAGTTATGACTAGTTGTGACTCTAATTGTGACGCTGGTTGTGACTCTGGTTGACTCTAGTTGTGAATCTAGTTGTGACTCTAGTTGTGACTCTAGCTGTGACTCTGGTTGTGACTCTAGTTGTGACTCTGGTTGTGACTCTAGCTGTGACTCTGGTTGTGACTCTGGTTGTGACTCTAGTTGTGACTCTAGTTGTGACTCTGGTTGTGTAGTTGTGACTCTAGTGTGAATCTAGTTGTGACTCTGGTTGTGACTCTAGTTGTGACTCTAGCTGTGACTCTGGTTGTGACTCTAGTTGTGACTCTAGCTGTGACTCTAGCTGTGACTCTGGTTGTGACTCTGGTTGTGACTCTAGTTGTGACTCTGGTTGTGACTCTGGTTGTGTAGTTGTGACTCTGGCTGTGACTCTAGCTGTGACTCTTGGCTGTGTGGTTGTAGTCTCCACGAGTCTCTCACACCTGGATAAGTCTCCATGAACGTCTGTATGAGATTGTCGGCTTCCTCGGTCGACACTCCGAGCTGATTGGCCAGCGAGGCAGCTCCCATCCCATAGATGATCCCATAGCACAGCTGAGATAAAGACAAAGACCCCCCAGGTAGCCTGTTACAGGATGCAGGGGCAAGTGCTGTCAGCGATTAGCGGCGGCAGCGGCGCCTATGAAGGCTACCGGCACTGTGGCTACACACACAGAGAGAGGGGGGCGGGTGGTCGGCAACACCACCACGCCTGGCCGCCTTTGTCTCTCCCCCAGGTACTCATTTGAGGCTGAGTCGACCTAGGGGAGGCCCAGGACCGGTTCAGATAATCGTCACCGGTGTTGGCCGTGAGCGCTGAAAGCTACAACAACAACAACAACCGCCATTCGCCACTAAGTGGCGGTGACGTCACCACGACGCTTGTGCCAGGCTATGTGCACCCTGAGGCCACGTGAAGTGTTGAACGCCCGCTGGCAGGAGGTCACGGGGCAGACCCAGGTGCCACGGGTCGACTGACTGAGATGACTGGCTGATGCACCACCTGTGCCCCCTACTGTGCCAACCTGCTGTGCTTTAGCCACCCGGCGCTCCGCTCGTTGTTCTGAGCGTCGCTCCTCCGTTGTTGTTGGAGGGCGACTGCCTCCAACTGCCCAGTAGCGTCCTTCACGAGCCTCCTCCACAGAGGCCGATCTTGACACCGCTGGTACCAGTCATCGGCAAGTCCACTCAGCTCCACGTCCTCCTGTACCACATCACTCCATCTCTTCTCTAGCCCGTGCCGCGCCTGCTTAGTCCCCTCAATCCGGCTGAACAAAAGCTGTTTCAGCATGCGTTGGTTGGGCATGCGGGCTACATGACCCAGCCATCGCAGCCTTGCCCGCCGGAGGAGCTCACCGATGGGACCTTGCCCAGATCTTTCAAGGATTTGTGAGCTCCTCACACAATCCAGTCTGGTTAAACCCAGGATGGATCGTAGGCAGGCCAGCCTAAATGTTTCTAACCGGCGAAGATGTTCCATTAGGGGGGTCCACGTTTCGCAAGCGTAGAGAAGGGAGGGAATGACCGTGGCCGAGAAGACCTGAAGCTTAGTGCGGAGCGACAGACCAGGTAGCTTCCACACAGCGTTACGCAACCGATGAAAAGATATTGCCGCTCGACTGATTCGGAGTGAGACCTCTGCTGTTAAACTGGGGCCAGTCATAAGCACACTGCCCAGGTATGGGAAACTCTCCACTCTCCCCACAACTGCCCCATCAGCGATTGGGAGTTGTGGGGGTGGAGTGTCCGATGGTACAAAATACCCAGGCAGGTGCTTAGTTTTGGTGGGGCTGAT